AATATTGAGTACCTATTGATTCTCAAGAGAGTGCTGGTGGCACAGTGGTTAAAGTGCTCATGTTAACTAAAGTTCAGTGATTCTAACCCACCAGCCACTCAGCAGGAGAAAGATGTGGCAGCCTATCTCTGTAAAGGTTACATCCTTGGAAACCCTATGGGGCAGTTCTTTTCTGTCCTACATGGTCGCTATGAGTTGGAATAGACTCAACAACAATGGATTTGTTTTTTGGGATTGATTCCCAAGCACTGGGCATACATTAGTGAACATATCAGAAAAAAAAAAAAAAATCCCTGCCCTCATGTGCTTATATTCTAGTAAGTGAGGCAAATAATAAAATACATAAACAATATATAGTTTGGTAAATAACGATAAGAGCTAAAGAGAAAATGACGCAGAGAAACGGAAGAGAAGATGTCAAGAGGCAGAGTGACATTTCAGTGAGGGAATGAGAGCGCAAGCCATGTGGCTATCTGGGGGAAGAGTATTCCAGGCCTAGGAATAACAAGTGCAAAGGCCCAGAGTTGGGACTGAGCAAGGTGACCAGTATGGCTGGAGCAGAGTGTGCTACGAGGAGAGTAGTATGAGGTCAGGGAGGTTGGAGGGCCAGAAGATGTTGACCAGTCCCTGGGTGGCGCAAACACTTTGCATTTGGCTGGTAACCGGAAGACTGATGGTTCAAACTCATCCAAGGGCACCATGGAAGAAAAAGCCTGGAGATCTGCTTCCGTAAAGATCACAGCCAAGAAAACCCTATAGAACAATTCTACTCTGTAACACATAGGGTCGCCATGGGTCAGAATCGACTCCATGGCACAAGCCAACAAGAAAACAACAAGGACTTTGAATTTTACTTGGAGACAGATGGAAAACCATTGGAACTTTTTGAGTAGAGAAGTGTTATGATCTGAGCTACATTTCAACAGAATCACTGTGGCTGCAGGGTTGAGAATAGATTTTGGGGGGTAGGGGCAGAAGCAGAGAGCCTAGGTAGGACAGTCCAGGCGAGAACAGAAGAAGTGTGGTGAATTCTGGATATATCAAAGGTAGACTGGATTTACAGAACTGTATAACAACTATTTCTCGGATATTGAAATTCTGTTAATAATATAGTGTGATAATTCTTAAGTTACAGGTTATAGCTATAAATGATACTTAAATTGTGTTCAAGAAATCATTCATACGTATTTATTACATGCTGATTGTTTCTGTAGTGTTCGCACTTTTTTTTAACATCCTAGTGTTTTTATTATGAAGTCTTTAAAGACATCCCTGTATTCAGTGTTTTTAAGATATATCTTTGTTCTGTGTTAAATTTATAATCTTTCATTCCATACTAAATGTGCTTTTCATCTTGATCAGATTAAACAAGAAAGGACATTATAACATACTACCTACCCTCTTATATGTCAGTTAGCCATGGTTCTTGAAAATATAGAACCTAAAGTTAGAGTTCTGGGAGAATCCTATTTTTCTTAATTTATTCTGCTGAAATGAACATGATTTGTAATGTTAAAGGAGAAAAGCAAGATTAATTTTATGTTATTCATCAGCTTCATTTTCTTTTCTAATCACATTATCAATTCAATATATTCAAGAATATTTCCTGAACTGACAATTCTGTTTCATCATACTCCATTGCATTTCAGAAAAGTCTTTAGGCAGCTCATGAAACTATTATAACTTTAAGAATGTTTTAACCTGCAGCAGCATGGCCTTCCTGGTTACTACACCAGTGTGTAGAATGGGTCTAACTAGTAGTCATTTCATGACCAGGATGAGGTGTGGTATCTCACACTATTGCGGACCATGCTTCCAATTATTCATATTCCACACAGAAAATGTAGAGAAGCAAATAAAAATCAATCACCTAGAAATACCTGTTCTTCTAATATTCTGGTGCCTATACTTCTCAATATACATGTGTTATAGATCTAAATCTAGATCTGTATCAATATTTATGCCTAAAAAAAATATATATATATAAAATAATCATAGTATACAAAATTTAATAAACTTTCTTGTTTCATTTAACATTATATTGTAAACTTTTTCTATTAAATAGTCTTCTTCAGCAACTTTTTTCCAAGCAGATGAATAATATATCATATTTGGCCAATTTCATATTTTAGAATATTTAAGTTATTCTCAATATTTTATTATTGAAAACCACAATATGGTGAATAATGTGGCTTAGTTTTTAGTTATACATAAAAGAACAAACCCAAACCCGCTGCTGTCGAATTGATTCCAACTCGTAGCGACCCTATAGGACACAGTAGAACTGCCCCATAGGGTTTCCAGGGAGCGGCTGGTGGCAAACTGCCGACCTTTTGGTTAGTAGCTGAGCTCTTAACCACTGCACACCAGGGCTCCCTTAGTTATACATAGATGTCAGGCACTGCAATGAGAAATTATAGCCCAATCTGTTAACTGTCATTTGCTCTACCACTAAGATGTAATAGATCTTACCCATCCCAATTTCTTTAATTTCCTTAACTACAAAATAAGAAACTTTGATCTCTTCAACTTCTAACTTTATATGCTTGTATAAACATGACACATACACATACGTAGAAATATACATAGAAATACCTTTAATTGAAAATGTCTTAGTTATACATATAAAGAAATTGAAATGTGTAAAGTCTGTCACATCTTAGTGGTAGTGCAAATGACAGTTAAGAGATTGGGCTATAATTTCTCAGTGCAGTGCCTGACACCTAATAATAATAGCCAGTGCTTACTGAACACTTACCAAGTGCCAGCCCATGCTGCAAGCACTTTATACTTGTATTAATTATTTTAATCTTTTCCACAATTATATAACGAAAACCAAACCCACTGCTGTCGAGTCAGTTCCAACCCGTAGAACAATTACATAAGGTAAGTACTATTTTAGCCCTGCTACATTGGTGAGAAAACTGAATTATTGAAAAGTTATTTGTCCAGAATTACCCAGCTAATGACAGAGCTAGGATTCAAACCCAAGCAGTCTGCTCCTGAGTCCGTGCTATTAACCACTCCCCTAAACTGTCACAATAAATGCTAAGTGTTTGAATGTTTAATTAATAATAGATATTATCATCATTATTCCTACTGCACAATTCTATAATCCTGAGGTTCTTTTGGTCCCAGTATTTTTTGAATTTTAGAAAGGTAATTTAATACATATGGTCTCTTTTACATGGCATCCCTAATGGTGTTTGGAACAGCACCCCATAAGCAAATGCATTAGTGTTTCTGCAGTGAAGTGTGTCTGTCTTCATACTGATAGAGATTAAAAAAAAAAAAAAAAGGACTATAAAAAGCCTGATGTCAATATGTGCTGCTAAATGAGTTATGAAAACCTCTTGGCTTTTAGAATTGCAAAAAAGGGATTGTGGACTTGTATAAAACTCTTAGCATAGAGCCTGGCATTTAGAATAAACTCAGTATGTATTGGTGGGTTAGTACTACTACCACTACTACTACTGTAACCCTATACACAGTGGGATTGGACTGTTGTGATCCATAGTGTTTAAAAAAATTGGTGGATCATGCAGTGCTAGGACTACTTGTCTCACATTATGACCAGATGATGGGAAGATACTGGAGTAGTGGGGTCTTTTAGCCCTTCTTTAAATCAGAAGGAGGGTGGGGTTAAGTGATACCCTTCCATGTCTCTGATCTCTCCTAAATGTAGGCTTGCCTAGCTTAGTACTCCTGTCCTTCTGTCCATTTGCACTGTCAGTTGTGTAGCATTTGATTTGAGTCTACTGAGTAAGCTCAAGTTGTGTTTTCAGCCTTTCAGAGATCTTAGTAAAGCAGTGTTTCAGGTTTATCCTTGCTCATGAGTATAGTCCTCTTTAAGCTTGAGCCCATTGGGAGAACAATTTGACTGAGCTGTCATTTCTCCAGATATGATCAGATATGAATAAATACTGAAGTGGCTGCATTTTAAATAGATTTTAATTATATGGTCATGTATTTTATTGCAGTCTGTTCCAAATATAAATTTATTAAATGCCGTTGATATGCACATTTGCTATTAAGATTTCTTTGTGTTTATGTGTTTTAAATTTTGACACTTGAGTTTAAACCCGTTCTCTGTCCTTGGAAATATCCCTTTGAACTGTTTAAAGATCTGTTGTATATACTTTCTTCTCTCCTTCTGCATATGAAAGTATTATTCGTCTCCCTCTTCCTTATCCCCCAGTAATTGGAAATATCCTTACTGAACCTTTGTCTTCCTCTTCTGTTGCTCAGTCTCAGCCTTATAGCATCCCCAATGGACTGGAATGGCCCTTAGAGATTATCTAGTCAACTTGAAGCAGGGAAATAGAAACAGAAATGTAATCAGTTTGTTGAGGGTGAGAATGGGGACTCATTTATTTGTATTTGACAGTTTTTTTAAAAATCTGTAACTAAAATACAAAACAGAGAAATATTCCTTTTTTGGTTGGAAAGGGATCTGTAAAGTCCACAATTAAGAACTATTAGTCTTAATTGCTCTTTAGGAGTGTGTGTGTGTGTGGTATCATGTGTAAGAGTATGTGGTGTGAAAAAGATGATTTTCAGTTTATTTCGTATGGTTTCGTCCCCATGGAACATGTTTGTGTTGGCAATTGGCATTCCTTATAGCATCATGTTGAAATTTGCCATGTATTATCTAACAAGTTCTAGTGTTTTCATGTTGTACATACATTTTGGTCAGTTTCTTAGTGATAGTAGATGTTGAGTATAAATTTCAGGACAGAAAACATGGAAAGAGGATTTGCTATATAATCATCAACTGATACTGTATAGAATTCAAAGATAAAGTAATCTGTTTGGCACATGTTCACTAATGTGACTTTTTCACCTGACTACAGTATTTAATTTAGGATCTTAAAATTTGAACTGCATTGCAATAATTGATAATTGGTATTTATTTTTTTACAGAGGAAAAAGGAAAATGGATGACTGAAAAAGGTATTTTGCCATATTTTGAAAGTTGTACTTTTCTTTATCTTTTCTAGGTTGCTGTAGTAAAACTAAAAAATGCAGATAAAGTATTTGCCATGAAAATATTGAATAAATGGGAAATGCTGAAAAGAGCTGAGGTAAGAATCGTATGTATTTGAATATTTAAACAACATTTTACAAATATTTTTAGTGAACTATAAAATTATATAGTCAGTAGATCCTTATCTATCATTTAGTAAACTATCTATGAGGGCATGTTTTTAAGGAATAAGAGACAGATTCAACTATTTATAATTTGTGATGCTAATTTAATTTTGACTGAAAACTAAACAGGAACCCTGGTAATGTGGGGCTTATACAACTACATTAAAAGGATGTGTGATAACCAGTTTCTTTTATAGGAATAAATTTTGTAATGGATGCTTTCCGATTTGGGATATAGCTTATTCATATTATTCTATATTTAACTGTATTCTGCTTCAAGCAAAATTCAGCAGGAGTTTTGAATATGCTCTTTAAGAATTCTGCTTATTGCTGATTTACAGTTACTTTATGTTTTGTTTTATATTATTAAAAAGTTGTAACATCTGGTAATGTAAGAATGTTAACATTTTTATGTTGGTGCTAGATTTGTGGAATAAGTTGACTGGAGTGATGTTGAAAATATCTAACAGCTGGTATGATATGACTAGAACTGGTGTTACAGGTAGACTTCAAGTGGGGCTCTGGAGGCCCTTGCTGTGCCTGTCATAGTGAGGGGCTGGACAAGGCAGGGCCCTCAGGAGTCTCTGGGAAGCAGACCTTACTGGTCTGGAAGTATTTCAGTATATTAACAAGTAGAAGGGCCTTACTGGTGAGTAGGCTGAGTAACCACTCTGGGGGTTGGTAAGATCCAAAAGAGGGTAATGAGAAATTAGCCCTTAGAAATCTTTCTTTAGCAGTACTTAGAGCAACCTGAAGACTAACAAACATATAAGGAAAAACAAAAGCATTCCTTTGATGGTAGATACGGTAGTAGTGAAAGTAAATATGTACTCCATTATTTTTCTTTTGGGAAATTTGAAAAATATAACAAAACACAACGAAGACACTAATAATCACTTGTACTCCATCATCCAGAATTAATCAGTAACCTTTTGGTAAGTTTTGCTTTTGGTCTTTTTTTCTATGCATCTACTAAACAAAACAAAGTACAGAAAAAAGTGAAATGCGAATACATTCTATGTAAAACAAATAATAGCACATTACAGATAAAGCTAAAGCACTCTTTGACCGCTGCCCTACCGAGTCTAGCCTCTTTCTACCTACCAGAGGTAATTACTATGTAATAATATCCTGTTTTAAAAAGTATCTGGAAACTTTTATGTCACCCTCTGACATATGTGCTGCTGCCCAATATAATCAATAAATAACATGAATCTTTACGTTTGAATTTCCCTAAGACTAAATTGCCTTACTATCACTGGTTGTTTATTCCAGGTAATAAACTCTGAGATTGACTTTAGTGCACAGGATATTTACTAGGGAGTTCTTCTGAGATTAATACATGTGGAAGGGAGTGAAGGAAAGAAAAGCTGTCCCAGCAGCCTCAGTTGGTCCCACAGGGAGCTCTGGAGCAGAAATATCCTTCACAGTTGTCCTGAATTTAGCCAGAATGGTTAGATCTACCCCAATCACCTGCCCCAATCAGTCACTGGATGCGGTTGCCTCTGGATGAAGAGGCTTTCTGCAGTGAGGCAAACCTTGAAGGGGCTGAGAACATTCTCAGCAGCCGGAGCAACAAGTCCTATTATTAAGAAATAGTAAATAATTATGTTCTTACTATTTCAAAAAAATAATATTGCAGTCAGTTTAGTGATCCAGAGTTAGAACTTTTAAAAAATTGAGTTATAGTTTGTACTTATTTTCTGTGAAGTTGATTATGTTGGGGAAGAATTGTGAAAAGGAAAAGTAACCAGGTTAGGTTTCATTACTGACAGGAAGAAGTGACAGAATTGAAGATAAAACAAGGAAGGATTTAAAATTAAATAGTATTTTGTTGAATTAAAGAGTATAGTATATTCGGGTTCTGGGACAAGATGGTATAGATGCACTTCTCCCTATTTCTTCCACTAAGTACAGCTAAAAATCCTGAACATTATATATAGAACAAACATAGGAAGACTCTGCAAGGTAGAAGAAGGTAGAACCAGCTAGGGACCTTGGGACCCAAGGAGCAGCACTGATTTTATGAGGTCAGAATTATCCTGATGCTAAAATCAAACAAGCACCATACAAATAAAAGACCAGTAGCCCTCCTGAATACAGATGCACAAATCCTTAACAAAATAGTAGCAAGTAGAATTCAGGTTTATTATAAAAATATTTCACACTATGACCAAGTGAAGGAGCCCTGGTGGCACAGTGGTTAAGCACTCGACTTCTAACCAAAAGGCCAGTGGTTTGAACCCACCAGCAGCTCCACAGGAGAAAGATATGACAGTCTGCTTGCATAAAGATTACAGCTTTGGAAACCCTATGGGGCAGTTCTGCTCTGTCCTATAGGGTCGCTATGAGTCAGAATGGAACTCGACAGCAGTGGGGTACATGACCAAGTGGGATTTATTTCAGAGATGCAGGGCTGGTTCAGTATTTGCAATGTATTTCAGACTATTAGAAACTTTCATTTCTTAAGCAGAATTCTGCATGAAACCTTTAAAGAGGAATTTCTTTTAAAAATAGAATGGAATTGTATTCCTAGGCTTGAATTATCAAATCTTTTTTTTTTTCATAAAATATTAAAAAAAAATTCTGACCATAACCTGTTCAACTTTGGGAAACTGAAAGTACAAAAATCATACTTAATACATTACACATGAGCAGCAAAAAATGTTATTTTTTGTGTGTATTGTTGATGTTTCAAAATAATTTTACAGTTACCTTTAACTTATTTGCCATATTTCTATTTCACGATATATGGCAAATGTATAATTAGTGGGATATGAATTATTTGAAAATTCTAGGAAATCTTTCTTTTTCCACCTGGTCAGTTGAGAGATTGATATCTATACAAATTCATTGTTTATAAACTTTGGTGGCACATCAGCAATCCCTTAAATTAACTTCTCCTAATTTATTTTGTGAATTTTACCTCTCTCTTCATATATTTTCAACTCTTGTTGATTTCACTGATATAGGAGATGTCCTTACTCATTTTATTGGAAGAGGCAATATGTATAGTTTATAGGAACACTCTCCATCTTGAGAGTTAAACCTCTCTAAGGGTCAGTTTTCCTATTTATAAGATGAAGATATAGTTTCTACCTCCTAAGTAGAGGAACGATATATTCTAGTTTACATGCACTGGTACTGATTTTTGCCTCTTGTTTTATTATTATTTTCATTATTGTTGTTCTCCCTGTTTTATTATTTTTGTTGCTTTTATTATTTTTAGTAGTAATGTTGTAGTAGTCATGAGGTCCCTGTGCGTCGGAATCGATTTGATGGCAATGCGTTTAGTTTGGTTTGAGTATAGTAGTAGTGAATCTAGACCATTAGATTTGAACTGCCTCTGCTTCCTGACTTGCCACCCACAGGCACTACAATGCAAACACTACAGAAAGTAAAAAATGAAGAATAAAAACAGCTCACTTTTTGTCATAGATTGAATTATGTCCCCCCAAAAATATGTGGCAACTTGGTTAGGCCATGATGCCCAGTATTATGTAGTTGTCCTCCATTTTGTGATTGTAATTTTATGTTAAAGAGGATTAGGGTGGGATTGTAACACCCTTACTAAGGTCACATCCCTGATCCAGTGTAAAGGGAATTTCCCTAGGGTGTGGCCTGCACCACCTTTTATCTTACAAAAGATGAAAGGGAAGCAAGCAGAGAGTTGGGGACCTTTTACCACCAAGAAAGAAGCACCAGGAGCAGAGCGCATCTTTTGGATCTGAGGTTCCTGGGCAGAGAAGCTCCTAGTCCGAGGGAAGATTGATGATGACTAAGACCTTCCTCCAGAGCCAACAGAGAGAGAAAGCCTTCCCCTGGAGCTGACACCCTGAATTTGGACTTGTAGCCTACTAGACTGTGAGAAAATAAATATCTCTTTGTTAAAGCCATCCACTTGTGGTATTTCTGTTATAGCAGCAGTAGATGACTAAGACCCTTTTCTTCCCCAGATACCCAGTTTTTATATCCAAATGAAATAATTATTAAGGGTTTCTTACTTATCCTTGGAGTCGCTGAGTGGTGCAAATAGTTATCATGCTCATCTGCTAACCAAAAGGTTGGAGGTTTGAGTCCATTCAGAGGCACCTTGGAAGAAAGACCTGGGGAATCTACGTCCCAAAAATCTGCCATTGTAAACCCTATGGAGGACAGTTCTACTCTGACACACATGGGGTTGTCACGAGTCAGAATTGAGCTTATGGCAACTGGTTTTAGTCCAAAAATGTACATCTCCAGCTCACAACTTCCAGGCTACAATTATGATTAACAACTCAATTTATTTAAAAAAAACAACACTAACATTGTAAAGCTATTCCAATATGGTTATTATGCATAATGTACAAATAAAGGAAAATCGAGAACTTTAAATATATTGTACAAAATTTCTTGTTTAGTAATATTCTTTGTATAAAGTTTGTTAATATAAACTGTAGGCAAGGATACGGAAATATGCTTGTTAAGTGAACTGGACATCATTCTAGTTTTTAAAATGAGACTCTTCATAGAGTGTAAATATACATTTTTCTATCTGGACAGTCTGATTTTTACCACAAGAGAGTGTCATGTTGTGCCCATTCTAGAATGTTATCTCCTTTTCCACGCTCCCCAAATTAAGTTCCTTGGTACTGGAACTCCTGGGTTGGGAGGGGAGTGTACACTTAAATTTTGATAGTTATTGTCAAATTGTCTTCTGAAAAAGTTGCACCAACATACATTTGCACTCATAGTATATAAATGTGTCTGTTTTCTTACACGTTTGCCAATTTTGGATGTTATCAAATTATTTCTTTCTTTAATTATGTTTTTATTAAAAAGCATTGTTACTGACAAATAAAAAATAACATATCTCATGTTTGGTTCAGCCATCAAATACTAAAATATAGATTTAAAAGTAAATTGATGCCATGGTTTTTGAAACCAAATATTT